TAAACATGAACATCTAAGGTCTCAAAACTCTTTAACCTTCATACTATGTCAGTGAATGATGCAAATATAAATTAAAACAATTTTTTCAAATTTTCTATTTTTTCAAAATATGTGGGTTAACCCCTACAGAAAATCTAGTTTTTTCAATAAATGTTATATTTAGAAGTTTAGGTTCTTAATTGTTGATTAAAATTATTGAATCACATTCTAAATTCTTATTGATGTATGTTAAAATTATTTTCATGGTAGATGGACATGATTTCAAATTTTCCAACATGTAACTTATTTATATTTCATATACCACTTAATCAGTGGACAAAACCCCTATAAAAGAAATTCTATTTTCTGGAGAAACATGAATACCTAAGGTCTCAAACCCTTTTAATCTTCTTACTATGTCAGTGAATGATGAAAATATGCATTAAAACAAAAGTTTCATATTTTCTAATTTTTCAAATTTATTTAAATTTCATAAACCACATAATCGATGGACAAAGCCCCTATAAAAGAAATTCTTTTTTTCTGGAGAAACATGAACATCTAAGGTCTCAAACCTCTTAACCTTCATACTATGTCAGTGAATGATGCAAATATGCATTAAAACAAAATTTTCCTATTTTCTATATTTTCGAAATGTGTGGGTTAACCCCTAGAGAAAATCTAGTTTTTTCGATAAATGCTATATTAAGAAGTTTAGGCTCTTTATTGTTGATTAAAACTACCAAATCACATTCTAAATTTGTATTAATATATGTTAAATTATTTTCATGGTACATGGACATCATTTCAAGTTTTCCAACAGGTAATTTATTTAAATTTCATAAACCACTTAATCAATGGACAAAGCCCCTATAAAAGAAATTCTACTTTCTGGAGAAACATGAACACCTAAGGTCTCAAACCTCTTTAACCTTCATACTATGTCAGTGAATTATGAAAATATGCATTAAAACAAAATTTTCATAATTTCAATTTTTTCTCAAAATATATGGGTTAACCCCTACAGAAAATCTAGTTTTTTCGATATGCTATATTAAGAAGTTTAGACTCTTTATTGTTGATTAAAATTACCGAATCACATTCTAAATTTGTATAAATGTATGTTAAAATTATTTTCATGATAGATGGACATCATTTCAATTTTTCCAACAGGTAACTTATTTATATTTTATATACCACTTAATCAGTGGACAAAGACCCTATAAAAGAAATTCTACTTTCTGAAGAAACATGAACATCTAAGGTCTCAAACCTCTTTAACGTTCATACTATGTCAGTGAATGATGCAAATATACATTAAAACAAAAATTTCATATTTTCTATTTTTTTCGAAATATGTGGGTTAACCCCTAGAGAAAATCTAGTTTTTTTCGATAAATGTTATATTAAGAAGTTTAGGCTCTTTATTGTTGATTAAAATTACCGAATCACATTCTAAATTTTTATTAATGTATGTTAAAATTGATTTTATAATACTTGGAAATCATTTGAAATTTTCAAGAAGGTAATTTATTTATATTTCATAAACAACTTAATCAGTGGACAAAGCCCCTATAAAAGAAATTAAATTTTCTGGAGAAACATGAACACCTAAGGTCTCAAACCTCTATAACCTTCATATTATGTCAGTTAGTGATGCAAATATGCTTTAAAACAACATTTTCATATTTTTTTTATTTTTTCTCGAAATATGTGGGTTAATCCCTATAGAATATCTAGTTTTTTCGATAAATGCTATATTAAGAAGTTTAGGCTCTTTATTATTGATTAAAATTACTCAATAAAATTCTAAATTTTTATTAATGAATGTTAAAATTGATTTCATAATACTTGGACATCATTTCAAATTTTCCAGAAGGTAATTTATTTATATTTCATAAACCACTTAATCAGTGGACAAAACTCCTGCAAAAGAAATTGTATTTTCTGGAGAAACATGAACACCTAAGGTCTTAAACCTCTTTAGCCTTCATACTATGTCAGTGAATGATGAATATATGCATTAAAACAAAATTTTCATATTTTTAAATTTTTTTCGAAATATGTGGGTTAACCCCTACAGAAAATCTAGTTTTTCGATAAATGCTATATTAAGAAGTTTAGGCTCTTTATTGTTGATTAAAATTACCCAATCACATTCTAAATTTTTATTAATGTATGTTTAAAATTATTTTCATGGTACATGGACATCATTNTCTAGTTTTTCGATAAATGCTATATTAAGAAGTTTAGGCTCTTTATTGTTGATTAAAATTACCCAATCACATTCTAAATTTTTATTAATGTATGTTTAAAATTATTTTCATGGTACATGGACATCATTTCAAATTTTCCAACAGGTAATTAATTTAAATTTCATAAACCACTTAATCAATGGACAAAGCCCCGATAAAAAAAATTCTATTTTCTGGAGAAACATGAACATCTAAGGTCTCAAACCTCTTTAACCTTCATACTATGTCAGTGAATGATGCAAATATAAATTAAAACAATTTTTTCAAATTTTCTATTTTTTCGAAATATGTGGGTTAACCCCTACAGAAAATCTAGTTTTTTCAATAAATGTTATATTTAGAAGTTTAGGTTCTTAATTGTTGATTAAAATTATTGAATCACATTCTAAATTCTTATTGATGTATGTTAAAATTATTTTTATGGTAGATGGACATGCTTTCAAATTTTCCAACATGTAACTTATTTATATTTCATATACCACTTAATCAGTGGACAAAACTCCTATAAAAGAAAATCTATTTTCTGGAGAAACATGAACACCTAAGGTCTCAAACCCTTTTAACCTTCTTACTATGTCAGTGAATGATGAAAATATGCATTAAAACAAAATTTTCATATTTTCTAATTTTTCAAATTTATTCAAATTTCATAAACCACATAATCAATGGACAAAGCCCCTATAAAAGAAATTCTTCTTTCTGGAGAAACATGAACATCTAAGGTCTCAAACCTCTTTAACCTTCATACTATGTCAGTGAATGATGCAAATATGCATTAAAACAAAAATTTCATATTTTCTATTTTTTCGAAATGTGTGGGTTAACCCCTAGAGAAAATCTAGTTTTTTCGATAAATTTATTGTTGATTAAAATTACCCAATCACATTCTAAATTTGTATTAATATATGTTAAAATTATTTTCATGGTACATGGACATCAATTCAAGTTTTCCAACAGGTAATTTATTTAAATTTCATAAACCACTTAATCAATGGACAAAGCCCCTATAAAAGAAATTCTACTTTCTGGAGAAACATGAACACCTAAGGTCTCAAACCTCTCCAACCTTCATATTATGTCAGTTAGTGATGAAAATAAGCATTAAAACAAAATTTTCATATTTTCTATTTTTTTCGAAATATGTGGGTTAACCCCTAGAGAAAATCTAGTTTTTTCGATAAATGCTATATTAAGAAATTTAGGCTCTTTATTGTTTATTAAAATTACCCAATCACATTCTACATTTTTTTAATGTATGTTAAAATTATTTTCATGGTACATGGACATCATTTCAAGTTTTCCAACAGGTAGCTTATTTATATTTTATATACCACTTAATCAATGGACAAAGCCCCTATAAAAGAAATTCTACTTTCTGGAGAAACATGAACATCTAAGGTCTCAAACCTCTATAAACTTCATACTAAGTCAGTGAATGATGCAAATATGCATTAAAACAAAATTTTCATATTTTCTATTTTTTCGAAATATGTAGGTTAACCCCTAGAGAAAATCTAGTTTTTTCGATAAATGCTATATTAAGAAGTTTATAAGAAAATCTAGTTTATGTTTAAATATGCGATATCTAGATTTCACCTTTTCTTGAGAGTATCATTCCAAATCAGCTCGCTGATCTTTTCCTTAGAATGAGGCTCTGAAATCATAAGATCACATCGCCTTAAACTGCAGTTAATCATTCTTCAAAATCAACTGAGCAGAGCAAAAAAAGTTTTGAAATTTACTTCTGCAATTCAATCATAAAAGAAAAACCATGCATATAACAAACTCGAGCCAAATTTCAAGTAAAAGCCAATCTAAAAAGCAGTCACCAACATGTTTCATTCACAACTTGAGATCATAATACGAGATTGAAAGAAAGTTTACGATCAGAAAAAAAAAACCACCACACTCACTGGTCCAAGACGAGAGCAGCGCCAAAGTGAAAGTGTTACACAACTATAAACGCTTCCACAATCCTCCTTAAAAAATTAGCAACTCAGTAAGTACATATGCTTATGCATGATTGGATGATCAAGACATCAAAGTCATTGGACTTACTTCATCAAACTTACTTCAATAGTCTTCATCAAACACAAAGACTATTTCAACTTCTCACATCCTCTCATCTCATCAAACTTACTTCAAGATGAGTGTGCTTGGCTTTCTGGTATGAATATCACAGAAGCTTACTCCACATGGTCAAGACTCGTGAGTATTCTCATTTCTTCATCATAAATCTGATTATAATTAATTTTAACATATTTTTTATCACAAACTTTAACATAATTTAATTATAATTATACTTATAAATTTAATTTTTAATATAATTATAATTTTATATATAAATATGTTAAAAATTAATCTGATTCCATTTTCTGGCAGAGTGTTAGCTCAGGGCTACAACTATGGCAACCAGGAGCATTACCACCGACTCTACTTGCTTTCAAAGGACTCACACAGCCTCTAGACCCAGCATGGCACGTAGCAGGACTAGGATCTCGATCTGTTGATTCCCCTGAAGAGATTCTGAAATCAGCTGCGGTTTTACATTTCAGCGGTCCAGCAAAACCGTGGCTAGAGATTAGTAACCCTAAGGTACGATCTTACTGGTATAGATACGTAAATTCATCAAATTATCTCAAGTAGTATTTTGTTTAATTATAGCTGCGTATCATAGTAATTCATCACAACATAAATGCTTGTAAGTTATTTTTTTTTCTGTAATAGGAACAAGAGTTTATTATTATTATTATTATTATTATTGGAGCCTTGTCCTAAACTATGAATAAGAAAGTGGCATATAAATATAATTTACTCTTGGTATCTCTTTCTCTAAAGAACGTTTTGAGTGGGAAGAAACATTTTTTTTAATCATGATTAAGCTTAAACAAGTTGAAGAGGAGGCTGGTCTTGACCGGAGAATTGTTGATTCGGTACAAGGAGGTTAACCGGAATATAGTTCCGGTTATAATGCTGGGACTGATCATGAGAATAAGACAGACCGGACTCATAAACCGCCGTTCCTTGGATCACACTATCTGCACAAATTGAACATCAAAGTTTATTTTTTGTGATATCTTGGTTAAGACGATGAAAATGTGACTAACCTTAGCTCGTAGGTACATGTTATTGTGCTGCAACTCCATTTCCTACGTGATTTATTTGAAAACTCAAAACCCATTAAAAAGGACGATGAATGTAGTGGGAAGAAAAAACCGTTACTTACCCTCTTCTGCATATACTCTATCTCGGCTACTAACAGCTCACTCTGAAAAGAGATTCATATAAGAGCGAGATAACTATACAATAGATAGAGACATAGGTTTATCAGTACCTTCTTGGATCGGACGCGGCTGATTCCTTTTTCAAGCCGTCCTTCTAGGTTTTTGAGTTCCTTGAGGTTCAAGGAACCAAGTGATTCCCCGACAATATGCCTTCGATTAATAAACATGAACAATAATAAAATTAGCACTCATTTAATTTAACCTAATTAAAAGTAAACCAAGTTTTTATTTATTTCAGGTTCCATATATCTCAAAACCAGACCCACACTGAATAATTGTGGGTCGGAAGCAAAAAAAAAAAGTTTTTTTTGGCTGTTTACATATAAAAAATAAAATTGAAGTCTACTACTTTTGAATCCAGCACCACAAACACACTAACACTAACCATAAACCAACTATTCTACTGAAGATTTTGTTGAAAACAAGACTGAATATTTGATATTCTAACTAGGACCAGAAACACATGTTTCTTTGGCTTGTATCCAGGGCCGCTACTGCTCAAAATCAAGCTGAAGCAATTCCAAGCAAATTAACCAAACTAAAAGTCCTGTCAAACCTAAAATGAACCAAAATATATTTGGAATAAGGATTTGAATGAATTTAAATACAAATGACTCAGATTCTGTAACTTTTTTCAGTTGAACAAATCCAAATGATCTGCCTATAATAGGGAAGTAGTGGTTAAAAATGACATATTTGAAACCTCATGAAGAGTTATAATTACTTACCTGTTAGAATTCTGAATGTCACGTATCTGCCTCCTAAGCTTAGAAGCTTCTTGCTGATAGTACTGAAATGTTCCATGCATACAAATACCAAAATGTCACCGTCTCAATGCATTTCAGGAATTCACTCTTTTTGTTAGTAATGTTTTTTTTTTTTTGGGTGTAAATGTTAAGAATTTTGTTAGTAGCGTTTTTTACACTAATACATAATTGATCATCATAGAAACAAGAATCCACATACACACAAAAGATATCACTTTGTGAACATTAATAATTCATCTTCGTAAAAACAAGAAAAAAAGAGAGGGGTAGTAAGAAAAAACTAGATTACCAAAAAAAAAAACTATACAAGAATGGTACCTGAGTATTAGCTTCGGTGACAGTAGGAGGGTTAACAGCATCGGAACAAGCTTTCTTGTACCTTTCAATTGTACCCTTCACACTAAAAAGTTCGAGAAACCAATGTATTTAATTTAATTAATATAAACTCTTAAACATAGATAATTAGGACGACAGTTCTTGATTAAGGTTTGGAATATTTATTTTGGGGCCAAAACCTTAAAATCGACAAGAAACGAATGTGGTGGCTTTGAGGGTTGGACCAGTTCTCAGACCAATACGAGGAGAAAACTTCAATCAAATCGACAAGATGCCTTTTCAACCAGATAGGTCGGATGTAGCATAAAATTTTTGAGGGGCAATACACATAAATATAAAAACTAAGGTCCAAATTTTTTTTTTTAATAGGAGTAAATAGGTAAAAATTAGGTATACTAAAAAGAATTTGAAATTTTCATGGGTGCAAATGCCACCCTCTTGATGAATATACATCCGCCATTGGCTTTCTTCCGTCTTCATTATTTGCATATGCATACATATAATATATTACTATTTTAAACATTGTATATATAGTTGAAAATATATTTTTATTAAAAACAGGAATATATATAATATTTTAAAAACCCTATTTTTTGCTCTAAATGTCACTTCCTTGTCATTTGAACTAAGATTTTTGTTTTTTTTAACCAAAAACTAAGATATTTGTATAGTAGTAAATTAATCAAGAAAGCAAGATCAAGAAGGTATACGTAGGAGAAGCGTACCTGTTGCTGGCGTACTCATAGAGACGGCCACGAGTGGAGAAAATAACAAGGGCAACTTCAGCATCACACAAGACCGAGAGCTCATAAGCTTTCTTGAGAAGACCATTGCGTCGTTTGCAGAAGGTTACTTGACGACTTGTTGTGTTCTGTATCCTCTTTATCTCTGTCTTCCCTCTAGCTATCTTCTTGCTACTCTCTGCGTCCTGACTACTCCCACCTTCATCCATTGCTTCTGTGATATCACCAAAAGAATAAAACACCAAAAAGAAGAGGGAGAGAGACTTATCTGGAGATAGCGATTCTAACTAAGCTTATGATCAAATATTTTTGCAGATCAAGAATAAGCAAAAAAAAAAAAACTTTGATAGCCAAATTTGGGATTTTAAAGTTCAACTATACAATGATCAAATATTTACAGATAAATAACTAAGAAAAATATCAAACCCACGAATTATTAACTCACGGATCAGATATCGAAAAATATCAAACCCAAGAAAAAAGAACCTTTTACTATAAACCGTGTATTTTTAGGGTTAATCTACATATAATGTAACATTCACAACCTTACCTGGATATCAGCACAAAAGGAGAAGTTACTAATTAATGAGAAACTTTTTTTTTTTTGATCAAAATGAGAAACTGTTTTTGAAGCGATAATATATATTATAATTATTATTGATCTCAGTATCACTTAAGTCTTGCTTCTGATTTCGTAGAAATAATGTTGTTCATGAAAATATCTTTCTTTCTTTTTGTAATTTCTGTTTTGGTTTTTGAGTTTCATTTGAAGAAATATTTATTTGAAGGTATTAAGAACCCACTTGCAGAAAACAAAAGGTTACAAGCTTTTTCCTAGATGAAATGTATTTATACAGTACATATAAGAAAAAGAAAAACAAGCGTACCAATCATCGGGAAATTTTGTCAAAAGAACATTCATATACACAACAAAGCTAGAAACAGTTCACCAAAAAAAAAAAAACAAAGCTAGAAACTCCCACTTTTTTACTCTCAATTCATGCATATAAATAGATATGGATATCTACTTAGATGTAAAGGTGAGATGTATATAATTATTTTTCTGTTTATAGAACAGAAAGTTGAAATTTGAAACTAATTATTAATCAATTATTGAAATAATAAGAAAGAAAAAGAGAAGATGAGTGGTAAGTAGCTGGAGAACATTGAAGGAGGACCATCCAATTTCTTTCATGAGAAAGGAAAAAAAGAGAGGGATGGGCTCTATTTCTCACCAGCACCATCTTTTGGAAACTCCTCTTTTTTGGTAACCCTTCTGCGTTTTCAATTAATTAAATGCTCATCTCTCTATCTATTTGTGTTCATATTTAACGAAGACTTATCTACGGCAACGTGTATAATGGCATTGAACATAGAAAAGCTTGTAACAACAACCAGGACCGGAGCTGAGATTTTGGGGGCTTCAAACATTTGTTAAGAACTCTAAAAATTTTAGGGGCCAAGGTCAATGTTTAGGGGCTTATTCCTAGATTAAATTTTTCTAAAAATTTTGGGGCCAAGGCGAATGTTTCGATCGGCTGTGTTCAAATCCAGCCTTGACAACAACCAAGTTGAATTAATTTAATCCAACAAAACTGTAGATAAACTTATCGGTTCTACTTTCGAAAATACTGTAACTGTATTATATTGTTCAGCTTAGTTATTTTCTCAAGATACCAGGCATCAAACCTTGAAATTAAAGAAGTATTGGTTTTAATTTTGTGACATTTTACTTAGGCAGAACAAAATGAGAATATGAAGTTTCAACAGATCCCATAACTGAAATGTCCATTCCACCAGATATGTTACTACTTCTTACTAGCTTCTAGATTGTAGTGTTTATATTAGTCTATTTTGCAAAATCAAATTTTATTTTTCAACTGTAAGGTCTTTTTGATAGGTACAACTTATATCATTACTAGTGGAATTAATGAAACCTCTCCTTTGCAGAGAATACCTGATTTAGGAGGCAGAGAAATCTTTGATCTGAAAGCATATCATCTTTTAAAAAAAAAACTAAAACGATTATAACCATATTTGACATAGTGACATGCATATTTATTAGATAATTAAAACTTGACAACATATATAGATCAAACTAAAATGAATATTGTAAATGAGTAAATTAAAAATTGCAAAAATAATAACACGAAAATTTTAAGTATTCATGAAAAGGTAGATGACAAGAATGTATCCATAGAGATGTAGGTGAGGTGATACCTAATGGATGTGATGAAAGAGACGTGCATGTTAAATTGGCATCAACCTCTCCTAGTACCTGAATCTTTTATGGGAGATAGGGGATAACAAGTAATATACTGTGCTTTCCATGGGATTCACTACAAGTAATTTATTAGGATTTCATCCTTTATCTTTTTCTTTCTTTGATTTGTACCCCTAACTGTTAGATATCTACTCTTGCGCCCCCTTAGTTACATGATCTACTGAAAACTCCAGGAATATCATATTAGTCTTCTCTATTTTGCGTGGGACCTCGTTTTGCCGTCACTCTGATACGAAATATCAGTTCTGATCTAGACATCGCTCATGATTCAAAGTTGAAAATAGCCGTCAAAACCGATTTGAAAGTCTTGAATTTTTTTAGATGATCAAAATAAATTAACGGAGTAATAACATGTTGGACACGTTCGGAAACACGATTTTCGTTATAGTAAGATATGTCACGACGTCAAACTGACATGCTTTAGAATTGAAAGTGAACTAATATTTTTTTTTTTTTTTTTGAAAAGGTGAACCAATATAGTTTTACGCTATTTACTTGATTAATTAAAAAGACCTTCATTTATACTCATGAAACATGATTAATTTTGAATCAGAAATCATATGTGAATATGAGATTTAGACTTAAAAAACGATTGTGTACCGAACCAAACAATTTCACAAGTATAATACTAAACTGATGAGGTAGTTGAACTTATCTCTACAAATGAAGACAATATCTATTCAACACGCATCTAATTTTGAGTGTATCTTTTGTCCACATATAAAGATACATTGAATCTTTATTATAAGCTTATGATAAAATGCGTTAATTTGCGTGTTGTCTAAAAATGACATACATGAAGACGCAGAAGTTCAACGTGTGAACATAATAGCTGCACTAATCACCAAGTTTATTTGAGAACTTGAAATGAAGACGTTGGACCAAAAAAAATGCGACCATCAATATTGAAACGTATCTTGTAAAAGTCTAATATAAACGATGAATGGCATTAATTATGTTTCGATTGTTTCGTGCATTGCCTGAACTTCGTCAAGTTGATTTCATTAACCTATTCTTTTTTGTGTGCATTTTGTATGTCCAATGTAGACATGGATTGTGACAGAAATACATATCTGAACATGTTTTTGTTACATTTGGGAGGGATATATAAATGAAAACTAATAAAAAAGAAAATAAATGATGGGACGACAACTTGATGAGGGAACAAGAAATTAAGGAATCCAACAAATGGTGACTAATCATACGTATAGTCATGATCATCAACAAACGTTTCCACAGTTCACATTTTGCAAATATACTCTTTTTGCAATATAGCACGGAGACTTATTTTATAGGGGCAATTTGCCAAATAACTATAGCAAAATTCAAAATTAAAGATATAACCATATGGAACGTGATGTGACAATTAACGCCATTGTTGGACGATTTTCGCCTTACACATGCCTACACGGCTGTAAGAGGCGAGTGAGCAATGCGAGACAATATACTATGATGCATATGCTATAGTATAGTCAGTGAAAATAAACCATAAATCCAAACCATTAACCCAATATATATATATATATATATATATATATATATATATATATATATATATATATATATATATATATTATATACTATACTATAGTATATATTGGATAGTATAGGGAATACAATAACACACAAAGTAACTTTCGAGACTAACATCCAAAAGGGGTACACTATATTGAAATGCGACTATATATAAGAAGGTAGATATTCAAGTGCTTTGAGAGGAAACATATAAAATACACAAAATACAAAATGAGAAGAGTGACACATTTCTAAAATGAATTTCATGGTACATGGACATCATTTTAAATTTTTCAACAGGTAATTTATTTAAATTTCATATACCACTTAATTAGTGGACAAACCCCCTACAAAAACAAATTTCTATTTTTTGGAGAAACATGAACAACTTAGGCCTCAAACCTCTTAAACCTTCATACTATGTCAGTGAATGATGCAAATATGCATTAAAACAAAATTTTCATATTTTCTATTTTTCTTGAAATATGTGGGTTAACCCCTATAGAAAATCAAGTTTTTTGAAAAATGCTATATTAAAAAGTTTAGGCTCTTTATTGTTGATGAAAATTACCCAATCACATTCTAAATTTGTATTAATGAATGTTAAAATTATTTTCATGGTACATGGACATCATTTTAAATTTTCCAACAGATAATTTATTTAAATTTCATATACCACTTACTCAGTGGACAAACCCCCTACAAAACAAAATTCTATTTTCTGGAGAAATATGAACAACTTAGGTCGTAAACCTCTTTAATCTTCATACTATGTCAGTGAATGATGCAAATATGCATTAAAATAAAATTTTCATACTTTCTAATTTTTTCGAAATATGTGGGTTAACCCCTACAGAAAATCAAATTTTTCGAAAAATGTTATATTAAGAAGTTTAGGCTCTTTATTGTTGATGAAAATTACCCAATAAAATTCTTAATTTGTATTATTGTATGCAAAAATTATTTTCATGGTACATAGACATCATTTCAAATTTTCCAACAGGTAATTTATTTAAATTTCTTATACCACTTAATCAAAGGATAAACTCTCTATAAAAGAAATTCTATTTTCTGGTGAAACATGAACACCTAAGGTCTCAAACCTCTTTAACCTTCATACTATGTCAGTGAATGATGAAAATATGCATTAAAACAAAATTTTCATATTTTCTTGAAATATGTGGGTTAATCCCTGCAGAAAATCAAGTTTTTCGATAAATGTTATATAAAGAAGTTTAGGCTATTTATTGTTGATGAATATTATTCAATCACAGTTTAAATTTTTTATTAATGTATGTCAAAAAAAAATAATCATGGTACATGGACATCATATCAAATTTTCCAACATGTAATTTATTTAAATTTCATATACCACTTAATCAAATGATTAACTCCCTATAAAAGATATTCTATTTACGTGTGAAACATGAACACATAAGTTCTCAAACCTCATTAACCTTCATAATATGTCAGTGAATGATGAAAATATGCATAAAAAAAAAAATTTCATATTTTCTAATTTTTCTCGAAATATGTGGGTTAACCCTACAGAAAATCAAGTTTTTCGATAAATGCTATATTAAAAATTTTAGGCTCTTTATTGTTGATGAAAATTACCCAATAACATTCTAAATTTGAATTAATGTATGTATAAATTATTTTCATGGTACATGGACATAATTTTAAATTTTCCAACAGATAATTTATTTAAATTTCATATACCACTTACTCAGTGGACAAACCCCCTACAAAAAAAAATTCTATTTTCTAGAGGTCGTAAACCTCTTTCACCTTCATACTATCTCATGGAATGATGCAAATTTGCATTAAAATAAAATTTTCATAGTTTCTAATATTTTTCGAAATATGTGGGTTAACCTCTATAGAAAATCAAGTTTTTCGATAAATGCTATATTAAGAAGTTTAGGCTCTTTATTGTTGCTGAAAATTTCCCAATAAAATTCTTAATTTGTATTATTGTATGTAAAAATTATTTTCATGGTACATGGACATCATTGTTTTATTTAAATTTTCTATACCACTTAATCAAAGGATAAACTCCCTATAAAATAAATTCTATTTTCTGGTGAAACATGAACACCTAAGGTCTCAAACCTCTTTAACCTTCATACTATGTCAGTGAATGATGAAAATATGCATTAAAACAAAAATTTCATATTTTCTAATTTTTCTCGAAATATGTGGGTTAACCCGTGTAGAAAATCAAGTTTTTCGAAAA